AGAGAGAGAGAGAGAGAGAGAGAGAGAGAGAGAGAGAGAGAGTTCGCGCAAAAATGTATGGAAAACTTTTTTCTTCTAAATTCACATTCAAAACATAAAAAATTTAAAAAAAAACTTTTTTTATATATACAGTAGAAAAACAACATTACATCACATTTTTATGGCAACGAAGGCCTAAAGATATGCTCCTGAAGGACATGTAAGGGAATAGTAGGAACTCAAGGCTTTCCACCTAAAAAATAACCATCACATGTTTTATACGCTACATATTATATGCATTTATCATATGAAACACAGATATATACAGTATATTATATTATGTATGATATTGTGTGGCGGAGAAAGACTTTTTATTAGTTAACAATATTATTATTTCATACCATTATTTACAGTATATTTGTCTTATGTTTTTGTTGTTTGACTTTTTTTTCTGTTGTAATAATTGGTGAGAAAAACTATATTTTGGTGAATGACTTGCGATCGGCGGCCGTCTTGTGTGCGGTATTTGTGATAAACATTTAATTTTTGTGAAAAACAATTTCAACACAAACTCCTAACCCGATGCTGAACGCGAGCCAATACACGCATTCAGTGTTCGCCAGCGCCCGACACGCGGACCTCTACGCCAAGTTCAGGCCTATTATGCCGAAGATTGTGTTGGACTATGTGTTGGGTTATCTCGGCTTATACTACGAGCCCCACGAGTGGCTCCGGGCGGTGGACGTCGGCTGCGGCGGCGGTCAGAGCACTCACGTGTTGGCCAAGTATTTCGCGCACGTCTACGGCTTCGACGTGAGTCCCGCACAGATCCGGGAAGCGCTCGACGCCTACCATCCAAACAATGTTCACTACCAGGTATTCAATCAGCGATATTCATATTCATCATGTGTTTTGTTTGCCAGAGAGTGAGTGTGTGTTTGGTGTGTGTGTCTCGTGATTATCACTCCCAACCATTGTATCCCATAGTAAATATAGTTAGCGATCGCTTTTTACTAACGCAATAACTTTATGTTTACATGTATACTGTTGTGAGAGAATATACATGTATATACTCTATAGTACTGTATACTAGTGTATAACTTATGCGTTGAGAATATAATTTATTTTCATTGACTCTTTTAGCATTAGTCTCACTATTACTGAATACTAGTAGTAATTATAATAATAACAACACGAGTGTAGGGGTGGGTGTTATTCACCTGTTATTACATAACAATTGACATTAAAAAAAACAATGAAAAATTATACGCAAACTTTAATATAACGTAAATATTTATTATTTACCGTATTTTCTCGCATATAAGGTGTCGATCGCGGAGTCGATACCGCAAATAGAGTCCAATTCTGTGCAGCTGTTGACGGCGTGCGAAGCGGTGCAGTGGTTCGATGTCGACAAGTTCTTCACCGAAGCGAGCCGTGTGTTGGCGCCGAATGGTATCGTAGCGCTCATCGGCCACACTATGTTCGAGCCCATCGATCCCGACCGACCCGACGACCAGATACTGACCCAACTCATGCTGAGTCTGCGCCACGACCCGGACATTGTGCCCTATAAGTTGCCAAACACCGAGACTATTGACAAACGCTACACAAACATTGTCTTTCCCGACGAGTTTGAGTACATCTATAAAGACAATATCATCAGCGAGATTGTGCTCTCCGCGCAGGACATCGTGGGCTTCCTGGAGACCTGGTCACCCTATCAGCAGATGTATCAGCGCGATCAGTGCAAAGCGCACACATTTTTAGCCACGTTTGAACAAAAGCTGAAGACTATTCTCAAGACAGAGAACCTGTCGGCCAAGAAGTTGCTCTGCAATTATCGCTATTATGTGGCTATGGGTAGAAAGCGGCACCACGTCTGACCTAGATGATCATGATTGATTGAAAAAAGCTGAAGACTATTCTCAAGACAGAGAACCTGTCGGCCAAGAAGTTGCTCTGCAATTATCGCTATTATGTGGCTATGGGTAGAAAGCGGCACCACGTCTGACCTAGATGATCATGATTGATTGATTGATTTATTTAATTATATTGCCACCGCAGACAAAATACAATACAATACAAACATTATATTTACCATTAAATAAATTTATACACAATTCTGTATAATTTAGTATATAATTATAAATATCTATATATTTTACTGTTAATAAAAGTCAAATCACGACAACATTATTATTAGCAACAGTTACTGTTGAACACAATATCGATTGACAACAAAAAACTTTTCAACAACAAAAAAAACTCTTCACTTCTGCGGCGGTAACTATTGGTAACACATTTGGGATACAAAACAAACGCATGACTTCTGGAGCGCATAGACTATGTAATGGTAAACGAGATGATAATATTGATGACAAATAACTAAATACATGAGTCGAGACACAAAGAGACAAAACATGTCAACTTCGGCGGCGACGCATGGCTTCCTCTAGGGCAGGTAGCTCGCGATGTTAACCAATATAGTGTATGTGATGCACTCTCGGCTTATGCTGGTCACGCACCTAGTCTAGGTCTCCAAGTTGTGGGCCTCACTCATGCGGCAGAATCTGACTGGTCTGATACGGCTCCGGGAGGGGAACGCCAAACAGGCGCTGCAGTCGTTTGACTCGATTAAGACCATCAATAATCCCACGTATGTTAAGGCCATTTGCCGGTGTCTGACACTACTCGGCCGCCACCAGCAGGTGTGCGATCTCATCAAAGAGATCGGTCTGAAGGTGACGCCCAACGACTGGCAACTGTGGTGTCTGTATGGGAACGCATTGCTATATCAGGGAAGCATTCAGGCGGCCAAAGACGCCTTCCAGAACGCCCTCCAGACCACCAATCAGATCGAGCCGTTCATATCGCTGGCCCAGTGCCACATCGCCGAACAGGACTACAAGTCGGCCATATTTGTGCTCCGGAGGGCCACCGAGTAATGCTTATGATAATTATTGCTTTTAATGTCATTATTAATCGCGTTTTTTGTGTCCCTTTCCATCACTTCTAGACTCTCGCCAAACGACTCGCAACTGACGATAAAACTGGGAGTTCTTCTCATAAACAACGGGATGACCGCCAAAGGCGTGGAGAAGATACTGATCGTCCAAAATCAGACCAATCCGGCCGACCTGTCGGTGGCGCTGGCCATCGGTTCCGTACTGCAGGACATCAAAATGGACATCGACTCAGCCCTCTATCGGTACAAAGCGACGAACGTCTTCGAGAGTCCGTCCCTCTGGAACAACATTGGCCTCTGTTTCGCCGTCAAGAAGAAGTTCGTGGCCTCCGTCTCGTGTCTCAAACGAGCCCTATATCTCAATCCCATCGATTGGCGCGTGAACTACAATCTGGGACTCATTAACCTTCAGCTGCGACAATACGCCAGCGCTTTCCACTACCTGAAGAACGCCGTGGCCAACGGTTCCGCCACTAATCCAAACATTTTGTCACTTTTAGGTATGAAAACTGATTGTCAAATAACTTTCCGCACAAAACCCTAATTACAATCAAAAGAGTAGTAACTTATGAAAAGCTGAATCCCATTTGACAGGCATTTGTCTGGAGTGTCTGGAGGACGACCAGAACGCCCGTCAGGCGCACACCACTGCGTCCAAGTCGTCGAGCGGGTGGAACGCCGTACCGGTGCTCAACTATGCCGTCTATCTGTATAACAGCGACTCCGCGGCCAATAGAGACACAATCATTGAGCTGTTGATGGAGTTCGAGCAGTGTTGGCTCAAACGGCCCCAAACCAGCCACGAGTTCGATCAGGGAGTCATGAAAGTGGCCACAACTCTGGCCAACGCTCTCAACGTGTCCAACCATATGGCGTGGGTTAAAGAGGCCACACAACAGACCACCCGAGTCGAGGCCAACACAGCGCCCGCTATAGAGGCCAACGCCGCCGCCAGTGGTGGCCCTCCGACCGGTGCTCCCGANAACGTGTCCAACCATATGGCGTGGGTTAAAGAGGCCACACAACAGACCACCCGAGTCGAGGCCAACACAGCGCCCGCTATAGAGGCCAACGCCGCCGCCAGTGGTGGCCCTCCGACCGGTGCTCCCGATTAGTCGCCGGCAGTCAATCGGGTTTGCGTTCAAATAAAATAATTAATTAATTGATGAGTTAATTAAAGTAAAAATTTGATTTATTAAATGTAAAAAACAATGTTTTGATGGGAATTAGATTATACTGTAGCCATAAAAATAGACACCGGAATGTTATTTAATACAGAATTAATGTGTATTATATAATAGAGATTATAATTATAATTAAACTAATTTTAAAGATTCATATAATAATAGCCGTTAACGTGCGTTAAATCACAGATAAAAATTAAATCACATTTGTTTTTGAGGCTAAAAACTGAAAGCAAACAAAAAAAGAGATACAAATTTCATTCAACAAAACCAAACCATTGTTTCGATTACTTCTTAATGAGAGGAACGCTGACATCACAGAGTGAAGCAGTTTTGCCCAATACTTGCATCACTTCTGCCGTGAAATCGCGTTCATTGTCTTCAGTGAAAGATCCGGTCCTCACAATGGTGTTAAAAATACCGGTCAAAGCCTTTATATCGGTGTCCGACACGACGTCCTTCAAGGAGAGCAACAGTTGGCCAAAGACGGCGAAGAAGCGCACCTCTAGTCCGCAGTCGTGGATCTGTTGGCCAGTGTTGACAAAATCAGTGCCAATAAATTTGAGAAACTTTCTCATCCGTCGGAAGAGTTGCGGCATTTCTATGGCCGCGAAGTTGTCGGTGATGTGCTGTCCGTTCACGTGAAGCTCTTTCATGGTTTCCATCAGATACTTGATGACAAGTAACTTGTTTTCGATGGCAAACAACTGTTCCCGCGATAGGATTCCATATACGCCGTCGATTTGTGTCGCCGATTGCAAGTCTTGTAACAGTTGGGCAATCATTGGCCGAACGATGCGATTGTTTGGCAAAGACTTTTGGGACAAAAGTATCAATTCATTCAATTGGTTCTGTTTCGGCAGATTCTGGTCATTCAAACACAGATTCTTTTTATTCAATTCAAACAATTCTGTGAATCGTTTTTGAATCAAATGATTGAATGTCTGGCACCGAGTGATCAGTGATTGACATTTCGGGCATCGCTTCAGTATTTCTTCATTTTGTGTGTGTTTTGCGAACAAATTGTTCATAAGATTCACTTCAATAATGTGTTTGCAATCCTCTAATTGAATGAATTTGGATTCACTCATCTCTGATTCAGTCATACCTTCGATGCCATACAAGTAGTCATTCGCTCGCCATTTGTCGCAAGTAAGACACAAATCGGGACATATTTCGCCGCAAAGACCTATGCATTTGTGGCCACATTGCAAGCGCTTCTGACAGGCCAGCGGACAGTAGTCGCGATCGCACGGCTCGTAACACCGCTTTCGACATGACTTGTGTTCACACCTCCACTGACACGCTTTCGGGCACCGGATGCAGGGCTGACCGCATGTGTGAACACATGACTGATGGCGGCAACTGTTGTGACAAATCTGATCACATGGCGGACAGTTGTCGCCGCAAACACTCTCGCATTTATGGCCACAAATCAACATTTTTTCGCATACTTTGTCGCACTTGACGTGTAGTCGGCTTTGATTGCACTGAACGCATGTGCCTTCGCATCGGTGGCCACAAACCAATTGAGTGTCGCATTTCTGACTGCAATTGTCGATCGATTTGCTGAAATACTTCTTCTTATTGCACGAAATGGCGTAGACGTGGCCGCAGTCGAGCTCTACGTCCATAATCTCTTGGCATTCAATTGACTCCAACTTTTGGGAGCAAAGCATCACCACTTCGTGTCCGCAACTCTCGAATCTTCGCCTAACAGTTACCATACATTTGCTTTCGTCGCAAGGCTCGGGACAGCTCAGAGAGCACTCGTGTCCGCACGACAACGGTTTGCCACACAATCGATAACATACGGCACTTCGGGAACACTGGAACAAAAGTGAATGACCACAACCTTCCACAGTTTTCATCAGTTCCACAGTACACGCTGTCTGACAGTCTTCGCCGCACGCGTTGTCGCACTGATGGCCGCACTCGAGGGTCTTATCGCAGGGATAGTAACAGAACCCGTCGCCCGAACAAAGCTCTTCCACTTCATGACCACATTTTGGCACAACTTTGGGCACTAATACAACACAAGGCGGACAGTCATCGGGAAAATGGCATTTATTTGGACAAATGTGTCCGCATTTCAGCGGTTGCTTGCAATGGATCTGACATCTGATGAATTGATGGCTAACGTGACAAACGTGTTGAGGACACGCGTGACCGCAGGGCAAGTCGTGAGCGTAACTCTGAGTACAGCCGCCAAACGGCGACTTGCGGTCGAAGTCGGCCACCGTTTCCACGCAGATATCGTCGCCGTTCGGGTGATTCGGGCAACAGAGCTGTAATGAGCGGCCGATTGCGTCCGCTTTGCTCACGTAAATCATGAGTTGAGACCAAAGATCACTGCTTTTGATGAAATGGTCAAAATTGCCGACACAGTAGAGGCCGCGTTTGGCCCGAGAGAGGGCCACATTGACCCGATTGACGGTTCGCAGGAAACCGATCTCGTTCTGGTCATTGCTCCGCACGAACGACAGGAGGATCAGCTCATTCTCTTCGCCCTGATAGTTGTCCACAATGCAGGCCCTCATGCCCTCAAACATGGAGTCCGCTCTCAACAGACGGTTGATTAGCAGATACTGCGACGAGTATGGCGTCAGTATTGTTATCTGAGTCTTGTCGTAGTTCTGGTACATCAGGTGTTTAGCCAATCGTATGATGAATTTGGCCTCAAACTCGTTCAATCTGCTCATCCGTTCGCCGCTTCCCGACTCGCGATTCGTGTGATTAATGAAATACAGATTGCGTTTAACGCCTAATAAACAAAAAAACACGGTATCTTAATGAATGTATGGCAAGCAATAGTGTTGACAAACCGGTCACGTCGTCGTAATGGCGGACAATATCGTGGTCGTCGAGCCGACTGTAAATATACGGAACCAAGAGTTTGCATATTTCGGGTCTCATGCGGTGCTGAAGTCTCAACTGATGGAATGGCATACCGTTGAGTATCATTCGCTCAAACAGAGACACATCCAAATTGTAGCGTTTGCTGAGCTCCCAAACGGCCGATTGTGGTCGCAGTTGCCGGTGATCGCCGATTAGGATCAGATGCTCGGTATTCTTCGTCAATGACGTAACGATATGACTCTCCATCACTTCTGCCGCCTCTTCCACGACAACTATCTGCGGATCGATGGCCTCGAGAATGGGTCTGAATTTAGAGGCGCCGGTAGTAGTCATGCCTACGATGGCGATGCCTCCGATCAGATGCAAGTCCTTCTGTAGGAATAGGTTCTTCAGGAACGGCAGTTCCGATTCGTACAGCGCTTGGATGGCATCCAAACGGCGCTTTCTGGACGTCGTGTACTCTCTGACCCAAAGCCGGTAGAGTCGCCAACGATCGACGTACGAGAGTTGTGTCACATCCGATATGCGGAACGCCTCTCCATTGGTCATCACATCAGTGGACACCAATTGAACGCTCATTTCGCTCAACAACCGGTTCCTCACTTTCCTCGATATGCCGTTCAATGACTTCTTGTTACTCAAGAATATGGTGTTACAGACGCCCGGCGAGTCTTCAGCGGCCGCTTCGGTCTTCAGCTCAATATCCATCTCTCTGTCGACGACTCGCGACTCCTGAATGCGTTTGACGTCCACTTCGCCGACATCGAGCTCCACATTGGAATCGCCGCCAATTCTGTGACATGTGTTGCCATTTTCGTCCACTTGTGATAACACATCGAATCGATTCAATGGCTTCAGAACCACCGCTTTTCGGTCATTTTGGTCGCTGTATTCGCAGTCTGTGAGCCATTTAATGAGCGCCAAATCAAACTCGTTTGAATAGTTAGTGAGCAACGATTTGATCTGCCATTTGATCCATTTCTTGTCGCCACTCTCTCTCAGGAAAAATTCGGGATTCAATAAATCGACGCAACAATTGTTGATCTGTTTGTCAAGAGTCGTGATCTCAAAGTGCATTCTTTCCAATTTGCCAAAAGTGACCGCAATTTTGTAATTCAATTCTCGCGGACACAAGTCCTTCCGCTTCAGCCGAACGGCGCTCAATGTGTTGTCAATCAGTTTCTCGCTTTTCGATCGGCCGCCGATTCGGACAATATTTGTGGTGAACTCAAGCATTCCCTCCAAGAACTGGTCCAACGCGTGGTTAGTGTAGCAGATAATCACAATCGGCTTCATATTGCGGGGATTATTGTTCCAAACCATACGATTGTGGTAAAGGGTCTGAACAATCTTCAGACCGACGTATGTCTTACCAGTTCCCGGCGGGCCTTGAATTAAGACAAACCGTTTCATTAGCGCTGTTTTGTAGGCCTCGTATTGGGAGTCGTCGAACACAATTGAACTCAATTTTGGCCACTCTTTCGGTTCAAACAGTTTCACCGATTTATATGAATTCATTTGGTCGTCGGTTTCGGTCTTCGTCTGCTGCTATCTCACGTACAGCATTCACCATAGCTTTCAGTTTATGAAGCCAGCGTTGTGAGGAAAGCGGTTTATTTGCTAAACGAGAAACTTACCTTTGCATAAGAGGCGCTTGACGAATTCTCATTTCAGATTGTGTTTGTAGGCCTCGTAATACACTTCCGACTCAATCATCACATATGTCTTCATGTGGTCGATGTGTCTGAATTCATCGGTCAGACTCTCGGACTCCAACTCCAATTGAATCAAACCGTTGGCCAGATCTTCGACCAACCGGTCGGCGGACACCGTAGCGAAACAAAATGTGCGGAAGTTGTTGGCCGACAGACACAGCAATGAGCCGGGAATTAGACGTTTTGTGAACTGATTGTCAAATTGAAATAAATTACATAAAATAATACGTAAAAATCACACCAAAGTAGTGGTCAAAGCTTACCATCCAATTGATTGGCGGCAATTGGCTGACATCAAACTTAGCCCAATAGGTGGACAGCGATTTCGCACTCCTCTCCAGTATAGACACATTGCCGTAAACTCTGATCTCTGGGATTCGGCGGCCATTTTGTCCGCAATGCATGAACTCGTGAATACCACTCCTCAGCGAACGGACCAAATCCTCGCGAAGAAGCGAATACTGAACTTCGAGATAGCGTTCAACGCTAGAGTACGAACCCTTCAAGAAGTTTGGCCTCAAAATGGGCACAATATTGCCGCGAATCTCAGCAAATGTCGGACAAATGGGATCCGTCCGGAAGCTGTTCACACCTTTACGCGTATGGTTTGAGATTGAGATTAAAAATTACATCACTTTCATCGACGACAATAACAAGAGTGTGTCAATAATGAGATAATTCATACGTCTTAAGGCGGGATCCGATTGAAGGGCCGGCGAAGAGCTACGACTATCCGTTTGCCGCGATTTGGACCTCATTTTGTCACTCATTTGTGTCTTAAACTAAGAAATAATTGAAAATTGAATCAAATTGTCGACACAATTACTATCGCTTACAACACAAAACACGTGACAATTAAATCCAGTAATCTGTGGCCAAAACGCGTGCCTATAAGTGGACGGGCCGTGTCTTGTGGGCCGACTTCTGGTCCAATCAGACGTCAAATACAATTAAAATCATTAAATTAATTAAAAGTCAATTACAAGTTATAATTCACTTACCGTTAAAACCGATGCTTTGTATTAAACAGTGTTTTAATTGCAATTAAAAATTGATTTCATTTTAAAACACAAATCAAAAAATCATTACTTTTTTTTGTCACAAAAAGCGTTAGTTTTTTACAGTTTTTTTTCTCACACTTGAAATCAATGCACTGTTTGTGTGGGCATTCATACAGCGGTAGTCAATACAACACAACCGATGCCTACGTTTAGTGAAACGCCTTATTATTTAATACACACTTCACTGCACGACAACACGTCGTGTGTATGAATACTATTGCGTGAATTACAGCCAATTGTGAGATGAGGTTTGAATCGTTTGTAGGTTTATGTGTCCCAACTCTAACTTTCTTTCAAGTGTAGACTTTTTGATGCATTTCAATGCTTTTTACAGTCTGTACTGAAATGATGTAATTTTTACTCATTTTTTACTTGACGTGACCCTGGTGCATATTTTTATTTAAAATTTATTTAAAATCAATTTATAAATTTGATATTTTATTCAAACAGATTATATTACATTCATATATATTAATAATATTGAATTTCATTCATACAATTGTTATAAAAAGTTCATAATATAGATTACAATCATAGAAAATTAACAAATTAACACCTTAATGGCATTACTTTATAGTGTACTTGCGCTGCACACTAACTATAAACTAAATAAAATCTAACAATTATACTTTAAATCTAATTAATTTTAAACAGTAATGTATAATAGTTTCTATACTAATTAGTAGAGCACAAAATCCTTGATAACTGTGACCGATTCCGGGTCCCGACCCTCTTTTAAAGGGCCTCCAGCGCCGACTTTGTCTGCCTTTTTAGGTGCTCTGATTTTAATAAAATAATACCCTATTATAACACTGAAGAGAATCAATAAACACATTAATAGAGCTAAAGTTATTTCATTAAGTCTGGGTTCGGCGTCGGCTTTGGCCACAATCGGGTCGGCGTTGTTGTTGTCGGGCGAAGACCTCTGTTGTGCAAACTCTATGCGCGCTCTAAATGGTCGGACGGACGCGACGGTCGGTGTTTGAAAAGCCCTGTAGTCGTGGGCTTTGTCGTCATCTGCGGGCACTTCCAGTGCGGGTAAATCGCTATCAAAGACCTCCACTTCTGGTAGGACTCGTGTTGTCACGCTTTCTATAGGGTTATGATTGGCGACCGTTTCTTCGGGTAGTGCCTCGACAACAGTCCTGTCTGTGACCAGTACTTCAACAAATTCTTCATTATCATCGGCGGCGATGTTGTCTGATTTGATCCCATGAGTGACAGCTTCAGTGGTAGTGTCGATGGCCTAAGACGACGATAGAGTGCATGTCGTAAGTGGTATCGAAAGTCAAATACTTCGGTCGCAACACTCCTTTCGCCAAATAAACGATTTGCTCTTTGAATGGAAACGTATTCTCCGCGAACTGCTTAAGAGTCTTCAGATTGTGTTTGTAGGCCTCGTAATACACTTCCGACTCAATCATCACATATGTCTTCATGTGGTCGATGTGTTTGAATTCATCGGTCAGACTCTCGGACTCCAACTCCAATTGAATCAAACCGTTGGCCAGATCTTCGACCAAACGGTCGGCGGACACCGTAGCGAAACAAAATGTGCGGAAGTTGTTGGCCGACAGACACAGCAATGAGCCGGGAATTAGACGTTTTGTGAACTGATTGTCAAATTGAAATAAATTACATAAAATGATACGTAAAAATCACACCGAAGTAGTGGTCACAGCTTACCATCCAATTGATTGGCGGCAATTGGCTGACATCAAACTTAGCCCAATAGGTGGACAACGATTTCGCACTCCTCTCCAGTATCGACACATTGCCGTAAACTCTGATCTCTGGGATTCGGCGGCCATTTTGTCCGCAATGCATGAACTCGTGAATACCACTCCTCAGCGAACGGACCAAATCCTCGCGAAGAAGCGAATACTGAACCTCGAGATAGCGTTCAACGCTACTGTACGGACCCTTCAAGAAGTTTGGCTTCAAAATGGGCACAATATTGCCGCGAATCTCGGCAAATGTCGGACAAATGGGATCCGTCCGGAAGCTGTTCACACCTTTACGCGTATGGTTTGGGATTGAGATTAAAAATTACATCACTTTCATCGACGACAATAACAAGAGAGTCAATAATGAGATAATTCATACGTTTTAAGGCGGGAACCGATTGAAGGGCCGGCGAAGAGCTCCGACTATCCGTTTGCCGCGATTTGGATCGCATTTTGTCACTCATTTGTGTCTTAAACTAAGAAATAATTGAAAAGTGAATCCAATTGTCGCCACAATTACTATCGCTTACAACACAAAACAAGTGACAATTAGATCCAGTAATCTGTGGCCAAAACGCGTGGCTATAAGTGACTGGCCGTGTCTTGTGGGCCGACTTCTGGTCCAATCAGACGTCAAATACAATTAAAATCATTCAATGAATTAAAAGTCAATTACAAGTTATAATTCACTTACCGTTAAAACCGATGCTTTGTATTAAACAGTGTTTTAAATGCAATTAAAAATTGATTTCATTTTAAAACACAAATCAAAAAATCATTACTTTTTTGGTCACAAAAAGCGTTAGTTTTTTACAGTTTTTTTTCTCACACTTGAAATCAATGCTATGTTTTTACAGCGAATGCACTGTTTGTGTGGGCATTCATACAACGGTAGTCAATGCAACACAACCGATGCCTACCGTTGAGTAAACCCCTTATTATTTAATACACACTTCACTGCACGACAACACGTCGTGTGTGTGAATACTATTGCGTGAATTACAGCCAATTGTGAGATGAGGTTTGAATCGTTTGTAGGTTTATGTGTCCCAACTCTGCCTTTCTTTTAAGTGTAGACTTTTTGAAGCATTTCAATGCTTTTTACAGTCTCTACTCAAATGATGTAATTTTTACTCATTTTTACTTGACGTGACCCTGGTGCATATTTTTATTGAAAATTTATGTAAAATCAATTTATAAATTTGATATTTTATTCAAACAGATTATATTACATTCATATATATTAATAATATTGAATTTCATTCATACAATTGCCATAAGAAGTTCATAATATAGATTACAATCATATAAAATTAACAAATTAATACCTTAATGGCATTACTTTATAGTGTAGTGTAACTAACTATAAGTTATAAACTAAATAAAAACTAATAATTATACTCTAAATGTAATTAATTTTAAACAGTAATGTAAAATATTTTCTATACTAATTAGTAGAGCACAAAATCCTTGATAACTGTGACCGATTCCGGGTCCCGACCCTCTTTTAAAGGGCCGCCAGCGCCGCCTTTGTCTGCCTTTTTAGGTGCTCTGACTTTAATAAAATAATACCCTATTATAACACTGAAGAGAATCAATAAACACATTAATAGGGCTAAAGTTAGTTCATTAAGTCTGGGTTCGGCGTCGGCTTTGGCCACAATCGGGTCGGCGTTGTTGTTGTCGGGCGAAGACCTCTGTTGTGCAAACTCTATGCGCGCTTTAAAGGGTCGGACGGACGCGACGGTCGGTGTTTGAAAAGCCCTGTAGTCGTGGGCTTTGTCGTCATCTGCGGGCACTTCCAGTGCGGGTAAATCGCTATCAAAGACCTCCACTTCTGGTACAACTCGTGTTGTCACGCTTTCTATAGGGTTATGATTGGCGACCGTTTCATCGGGTAGTGCCTCGACAACAGTCCTGTCTGTGACCAGTACTTCAACAAATTCTTCATTATCATCGGCGGCGGTGTTGTCTGATATGATCCCATGAGTGACAGCTTCAGTGGTAGTGTCGATGGTCT